TTCAAGAATCGGCGTACTTGATTCAAGACTAAAAATCAAGTAATTTTTAATCAAGAAATATATTTTACTTGATTCAAGAAATCTTTTTTCTGGGTGCAGGGAGGCGGCCAGCAGGGACGGCGAAATGATCACCTTGTCGTTGGGAGAGAAAACTGACTCACATTTGAAAATATTCAACGGAACGTTTTGTGCAGCGTTCCGCAACTTTTGGTTTGCTTCGCGCGCGCCACCGCACACTGTGGCAAAAAGGTACGGAAAATTCTGTTAATTTTTTTGCCAGGATTCTCCGTAGCCCTCTTATCAACATTCTCCGTAGGCTCTTACAGTATTCTCCGTAGGGCCGCACAGTATTCTCCGTAGGACCGCACAGTATTCTCCGTAGGACCTGGAAGACGGTGTAGTCCTACGGAGATCACTGTAAGGTCCTACGGAGAATACTGTGCGGTCCTACGGAAAATACTGTAAGAGCCTACGGAGAACATTGACAAGGGGGCTACGGAGAATTACCACAAGCTGTTTACATAATTTTCCGTAGCTTTTCGTCACGGCTACCGAGAAAACCACTCCTCTCAGTAGGGACGCCCCGTCACGTGCTAGTGAATCACCGACATGACAGGGCGGGCCCGGAAGGCAGACGATCACTTGTGGTCCAGCCGTTAATCGCAATCGCAATCGTGGGTAGCCTCAGCGCCCGTCGACCGCCGCATAGGCAACCCGTCGTGCACGGCTGCATGCGGAACGCCTACTGCTAATCTGTCTCGGGGTTTAAGGCAGACCGTATCGATCCACTGTTCCGAAACATGCTTGCAATGTTCGCTTTAGTGAGATTATTGTCTGTTCTTAGTCGCCCCAACACGAACAAACCTGACTCTGCAAATGACGTCTCATCCATTGACTTTCACGGAGGTTTATCTTTGAATGGATGGTTTAAGCGGTGGCTCTCGCGGGAGACCTCTCCCTCCGTTGTGAGAGTTCCATGGCCACGGCACTGTATCAAGCGAATCCTTTGTGAATGGCGCGCCGCTTCTGCCTTGGCGCCCCAGCAGCTCATCGAGGGCCTCGGCGCCTCGGCCGGGCCGGCCTGGCGCGACGAGATCATCGCTTCATCCTTTCTGTCTTGTTTTATTTTGTTTCGTTTCTCCTTTTTTCCGCGCGAAATGGCGGCCTTTTCTCGGACCGAGCGCCGCGCCTCTTTCACAGCGTATAAATATTTTAATATAATTTAGTATATTTAGTATAATTTTTTTACTCGCCTTGTTTTTTAAGGAGGCGCGCTGCTGGGATTCATTCCGAATGCTTTCTGCAGCCTGGGCTCAGCTGAGAGAGAGAGAGAGAGAGAGAGAGAGAGAGAGAGAGAGAGAGAGAGAGAGAGAGAGAGAGAGAGAGAGAGAGTTGTAATGACGAGACAAGGGCTTCGTTAAGGGATGACGGGGAACGGGTGCGTCGCAGACCGCGGCGCGGCCAAGTCCACGTGCGCGCGTTTGAATCTTTTTTCGCGCCGTGAGCAGACTAATGCCACACAGTGCGGCCGTCGGTCTGTCTCTCCCGCACCTATTGGAGACGTCCCACGAGTGCGAGAGCGACAGGCCTTCCCGCAGAATCAGTCTGCCGGCCGCCATGCATTCCAGGACACTGCCGGTGGTAGAAGCCTTGCAGTGCGACAGCTCTCTTCACCTCACTGCGTTTGCACTGTAAATGTCTTACGGTGAAAGGCTGGGGTGGGAATTTTCTCCATAATACCAACAAAATTTGTCAAAATATCTATAAGGTACAGTGAAATCTCTATGGTATGTTATGAGGTCAGCTGCACCACCATAATATGGAACATTTTCACCATAATATGGAGAATCTTCACCGTAGAACATTCAGAGTGTGGGTCAAAGGCTGCAGTCGTGTGCTCAGCTCGGCGCTGCGCGTTGTGTGCGTTTTTCATCGCTCTGTCTCTCTCGCACTCAGGGGGTGCCCGCAGAGTAGCGAGCGAGGAAGAGAGGCAGAGAGACGAAGCGCTGTTTTCGGTTATGGTCGTTGTCAAAAACACAGCAGGCGCGTCGCAGAAGTGGATCCGGCGTCGCCTGCATGTGACAGCGTTTCGACATCGCTCTCCGGACGTGCCGCGTGCTGCGTGTTTCGCGTGGAGCGGTTCGCGGTCAATTTTAGGGTGTATCGCCCGCGAGGCGCTTCCGCGTGGACGGAGAGGGAAACGCGAAGCGAGTGGAGTGTGCAGTGTGTGACCCAGTTGTAACAGAGCCCAAGCCGGCGCAATGCACTCCTGGAAATTTTGGTCGCCACTTCATGACAATTTCACGCAATTTCAAGAGAGAGAGAGAGAGAGAGAGAGAGAGAGAGAGAGAGAGAGAGAGAGAGAGAGAGAGAGAGTAAAGAGAATGAAACAAGGCTTGGATTATTTGCACTGGTTCGTCGACTCGCGAAGGCAGATCCTTACAGTGCGCGCGGTGCTCGCTGCACTCGCCCCACCACACTGTTGGGACGAGGGCGCGCGCCAACGACAGTAGACCATGGAGGCCGAGTGCACGGAGGCGGACGACGGCGCGGTCCTCCGCCACACTCTAAATGTTCTACAGTGAAGATTCTCCATATTATGGTGAAAATGTTCCATATTATGGTGGTGCAGCTGACTTCGTAACATACCATTCAGAATTCACTATACCTTACAGAGATTTTGACGAATTTCGTTGGTATTATGGAGAAAATCTCCACCATATTATGTTGGTGCAGCCTTTCACCGTAAGACATTTACAGTGCACTATGCATGTATGCGCACCGGGCTGTCGTGGCTTGATTTGTGGCTCCCTGGCTGGGGCCCGCCCGCCACGCCCCGCCACGCCCCGCCACGCCCCCCCCCCCCCCCCCCCGCCTCGCAGTGCCATCCGACCGGTCGTTATTTGAAAATTACACTGACGTCGTGCACCACCGTGGTGATTTGACCACTACGTCGGTATGTAACTTACTCAGCATATACATTTATGTTCGAAGGTGTACGGTACGGTGGTCACACACTTAAGTTTTCAGCGTAGGTTCGTGTGGTAACCTGCGGGACGAAACAAACCGACTCAGCCCTGGATCCAGTTTTTCATGAGTTATGCGTTCACTTTGGAGGGGTGTTAAGTCAGCGAGCCCCGATTGGACCTCGCTCACAGGGCCGCAATCGATCCGCTTACTGCGACCCTTTACATTGGACGGTTCGGACGCTGTAACTGGAAAACCTGGCCGGGCAGAGCAGGATTCTTTTGTCCCACGGTGTACGCACACTGCGGCGACGCACTTATCGGTTTTCGTTTCCATGGATCCCAAACGCTGGTCGGCCGGGCCAGCATTGCCAGCATGCAGGCTGCAGCGCTGAGGTAGCGAACAATGCGGAGCGGTCCAGAGCACGCCAACGGTCTCGTCCAAAGCCAGCGCCACTGGGTTGCTGGTTTCCGGGTTTGGATGCATCGGACCGTGCTTCGGACCTCATTTCCGGTCGGATGCACTTTCCCGGGTTCCAAGTCCGGGAAACTCTCGTATGCATCCACTGCTCGGACCACTGGAGAAAAACAAACTGCACTCTGTTGCATGCACACATGGTTGGACTGGTGCGGGATTCCCCCGGGCTATGCCGCTTTGCCTGTCCACCGTGAGGGTGTGGTGTGTGTGTTAGAGAGGAGGGGAGGGTGGATGCGTAGGGATGCTCGTGTCTACTTGTCGGTCTATCAGTCTCTCTGCCTACCTGTCTGTTTGTCTATTTGTCTGTCTGTCTACCCTGTCTGTCTATCCTGTCTGTCTGTCTGTCTGTCTGTCTGCCGTGTGCAGCCTAATCGGTGTGATAAACATTGTGCGCCGTCCCGCGAGGGTTGCAGCGAGCTGACAGGTGGCGGTGGGTACACCGTAACTCCCTGTTAACGTTGGCCGCCTCACATGTGTTCATTCGGAGGGGAAATGCGTCCATAGTCGCAGGCAGCACCTCAGTACTAAATCCCCCCCCCATCTCCCCCTTTGCCCCCCCCCCTCCCCCGGACCCCGGCTCCGCCCCCTGCTGCATACAAGTCTCTTTATCACATCCGAAGCATCTCAGGAAGCTGCATACGGCTGCTAACCCCCTCGCACTTGTGTGTGTGTGTGTGTGTGTGTGAGTGAGTGTATATATGATTGTGCGAATCCCAATGTGTGCACAGCGAGTGTGTGTGTTTGTGTGTGTTGTGTGTGTGTGTGTGTGTGTGTGTGTGTGTGTTTGTGTGTGTGCGCGTGTGTGTGTGTGTTCATGTGCGTGTGTGTGTGTGTGTGTGTGTGTGTGTTCGTGTGGTTGTGTTCGTGTGTGTGTGTGTGTGTGCCGACAGCCATTGTGTCTGCGTGCCGGCGGGGGGGTTGGTGGACCGCGAGAGAGCCCCCGCCGATCGCGCCCACCACGAAGAGAGCCCCAATGCCCGCACGCACACATACACTTGGGCACATTCACACAGACAGACAGACAGACATTCGCACACCCCAGCAGACACCAAGCCCCAGCCCAGCCCGCCCCGGCCGCTCCAAAGGGGAGGGGCGTCGCGCGTTGCGCGTACCGTTTTGTTTGGCGTTTTGAAGGGCATAGAGCAGGATGTAAAACAGCGCTACGTGCGTGAATTTCAACCGTTCCTGAGCAACCGATTCGAAGACAAACGACTGTCGATTTGAAATCACCCCTGATTCGATTCAGTACTGAGCTATTCGCACATCACTAGTACAGAAGTTTTGTTCTGACCAGCTTTATTTGCGCTTGTCTCGTGTTATTTTTAGGCACCTGGACATTCTGAAAGATGCAGTGGTATATGTAGTTAAACTTAATTAATTAATCCTCTGAACAACGAGCCCATTTTCTTGACGCCATCTAGCGACTGCAAATTTGTTTATCTGCGTGTTCATAAAAAATGTGACTGCGGGAAGGAGCCCGCCCGTGTAGTGTTGCACTCTGTCATACTCCAAATCATTTAGCAAACCCTCCGAATCCTCCAAATAATCAAAGTAACTCAGACCAAAACGCTTCCTTAATTATTCAATGATAATTTCCGCCGTCTTATTCACAGCCACCCAAGCTTCACCATGTCCTCAATGACATCACAGATCCTTCTGTTGCGCTCTGCGGCGCTCTTGGAACTGGAGCCTCTTGAAGAGGACGTGCTGCTTTCCATAGGCTGGTCCAAGTCCGGGATCTCATCCTTCTCGGCCAGGAATACAGGAACCGTCATGAGCGCCATGCCCATGCCGAATTTGCCGCGCTCCTTCAGCTGCCCCTAGATTGAACAATTATCGGCAATCGAATCAAGACTGTAAACAAGGCCCACCGTTTGTTCATATATTGCACCGTGTGACCAAATTTTTCCTTGTGGTAAAATAAAATGTTGTGACACCTTGTTCGGCAATTTTTTCCCAAAGATACCAGGGTTCATGCACTTTGTCTAAAACCTTATGCTTTTCTAAGCCCTACCTACCTGAAATGTTTCCCAGGAGTAAAGCTCTTCGGGGTCGCTGCCCAGGCGACGTAGGGTGTCGCTGAGCTTGTCGTGGTACTCCTTGAGCACGGCTTGGAGGTGCTGCTGCCGCCACTCCCGTTCCGTGCACGAGTAGATGAGATACACGAGGTCGAGCACCGGAGGGGCGTACCGCGCCACCTGGAAGTCCAGCAGGCAGACGTCCTCCACGACGCCAGGCTGCAAACGACGGAGGGTTGAAAGCATGTAGACACGGGTGAACATAGACCGACACAATGTGAAACCAAGTAAAGTTAACTCCACTTTTGAAATTCTGTAGAGCGGAATATGCAGTCTTCGTCCTTGAATGTGAAGAGTTTGCAGTCTCCACACTTGAAAGGCAGAGTTTGCAGTCTCCACACTTGAAGGGCGGAGTTTGGAGTCTCCAAAGTTCAAGTGTAGAGTGCTTTACGTTTGCAGCATGCCAAGAGATATGGGCTCTGTGAGCTACCTCACAATTAATGAGTGGGTACTGCAAACTCTACTCATCCAAGTGTGGACTATTTGCGCCACGAAAAGAGTTCTCCGCATTTGGTTCGGTAGTGCCCCCACCTTCTTGTACTTGAAGAGGATGTTGTTGGTCCAGCTGTCACCGTGCGAGATTGCGCTGCCCTTCGCAGTTTTGGATACCAGGTGTTCCATGGTGCTGAGGCTGGAGTCGATGAAGGCCTTGACCTTGGCGTGCACCTCACTGCCCGCCGGGTGCTTGTCCTTGATGAACTCTGCGCACACACCGCAATCAGTGACCCAATCAATTTGTCCCTCACAGGTTCAGCACAGGTCCACGCGCAACACCACGTACCGTACGTAGGGCTCAGGATTTTGCCGAGATGCGCCATGGCGGGGTGTTGTGGCGTTAACAGGTTCTCGGTAAATTGGTCGCGGAGCTTGGCGAACTCCTGCGGCCGCTGCGCCTCCATGGCCATGCTGGTGGCGTGCAGGAAGGCCAGCGCCTTGAAGACGGGGCGGACGTGATGCTCGTCCAGGCCCACGCGCCTGTCGTGCATCGTGAAGCCCAGTGGCCGCATGTCCTCTAGCACCAGGGTGTCCTGGCCGTCCTCGCCGCTCGCGGACGCCTCGTGGAACCTGTGCCCAAAATGTAGGGGCACTGTCAAACCAAGAGTGGGGAACTCCACACCTCCTACACGGTAAAAACGGTACCTGGTTTTCCCAGGAGCCCTATGGCGAAGACATAGGCGATTTCCAGGGGGTTCCTGGGAAAACCAGGAACCGTTTTCACCGTGTAGGGTGGCGGAGGGATTCGTCTTACATGGCCCTGTGGACTTGGAACTCACAGAGCTCCCATCTCTTGGAGTTCTCCACACATTGTCTCAGTGTTCACTGGTTGAAGCATGCCCTCACCTGGCCGTGTTGGGGAAGAGCCCGGGCTCGTGCACGTCGTCCACGCCCTTGTCGGCCAGGAAGCGAGCGAAGGCGGGCAGTACCTCGCGGTACATGAAGATCTCTCTGTCAAAGCAGACGGGCAGCCGCATCTGCTTCCGTCTGGTGGCGCTTGGGGGCATGGCTTTGAAGATAAGGCGCAGGCCGGGCTCGTCTTCGCCGTCCTCAGTCACCACCACACGGTAGAGCACGCCCAGGTAGTTGTCACCCGCCTGGCTGCCCGCGGACACCGCGTACCTGTGGGCAGTCGCGTTGCAAGATTGAAATGTCAATGTCACAGACGAGCCTGAAATCGCTCGTTTCTGTTCCAGCTTATCATATGTGTGGAGATTGTTTCATTTGCGTCCTTTTTATTATGTCAGTGAAGTTTCTTTCCATCGGACTTAGGTAGCAATCGTGATCTTTCTTGTGTCATGTGTCACCTTTACGATAGTGTGACATTCATGCTGTCGTATGTTTTTGTTTTCCTGCCAATTTCTGTTCACAAACAATGGGATGTTAGCGTCCAAGTGCCCTGGTTACGAAGGTTCCCATCTGATGGCCCTAACAGTTGCACGGTGTACTTAGTATCTTATCTTGCATGCCGCGATTCCCCAATCCCGTCTCCCTCTGATGATGTGATTCCATATCAAAGGTGCTTGCCATATTTTTTGTAGTAATGAGCTAGTGCTTTCTTAATCAGGAATTTACTTTGAGGTTCTGCTCATACTTCAGGGTTCAGTGAGCTGTGCAGGATAACAATTTATGAGCACATAATCTCGGTTTCAGTGGCACACAAAAATTTTGTGCTTCTGCAGTGATAAGCGGCTCTTTCCAAACCCGATAAGTGTTTTTGGCTTAATTTCAACATGGTTGACTTAAATTTCCAACGAACAACCTTGCGTCAAATCAGCGACTTGTCCACGTCAATTCAAATTTAGTGTCTCCGAAGGCCTAGATAGTGAACCAATCTTGCACGGTACAGAGTTGCACCGCTTCATCTGGAGTGGGTTTTTTCGGCATAAAGATGACGTCAGCAAAGGCGCCATATCTCACTATTTTTTTCTACAAAGACGACTTAAGTGGTAAACACTTTCTAGAATATTTAAGGGAATAATCTTGAGTCATGGTTTAAACTGTTATGTATGCTGAGCGGCATGAGATCTTGTTTCTATTGCATTTAACCACCCTCTGTTTGTACGTGCAAGGAAAACGCAGCACCTGAAATTGCCCCCGGCGGCTCTTGGATCATTGACTCGCCTCCCCAGCGTTGGTCTGTGATTCCCAGGCACTACTGTCACCGTTTTCGAATACGAATTTAAATTCCTAAACGACTTCGTCCTTGCTTACCTCGGCTTCCGGAAGCCCTTCCGCTTGGCGATGTCCTCCAGCAGGGCCTGCATGTGCGGCACCGGGAGGGCCGTTTCCGTCATATTGGGCGGTCGTGGTCGTCGTCGAGTGCACCTTGAGAAGAGTCCCTGCAACCAGCTACCTGCGGGGGCCCGGCACCTAGTGCGAACTGACTACGCGCGCGACCAGCCTCTGACGCCTTCTCGGGGCAATGGGAGGGGGAGTACAGCGGAGCAGAGATTAAGACCCGCGTCTCTCTGCAGCCGCCGCTCGTGCGTTCACCCGGCGTCAGGCCTTATCTCACGCGAGTCCACGGCCTCGATCCACTGGGCCGGCCGTCATGCCACTCACCTCAAGAGTGGGCGCAGCACCTTTCTGCAGGTGTTACCTCTCAACGCCGAAACGTGCAGCATGTCAGCATTTGACCCTTCAAGATGACTGATTTGCCAACTTTGGGCCTGGGAACCAGGTGCGAATCCCGTACTGTTGCACTAAGAGAGAGCAGATGCACTGATACCGTCCGACGCCACGCGACTGCAAGGCTTGCAAGCTGCCACTATGGGGCAAGGGGGCAACTACTCGCGAACACTTGATTGGCCGAAATCTTGCGTGAAATCGGTAGAAATATCTCCCTTCGAAATGTTATAAAAAAATCTTGCGAAATCCCATCAAGAACTAGTGAAATCTCGCGAAATCCCACCGAATTCTCGCGAAATCTGGCATAGTTTCGACGCGAAGTCCTGCGAAATCTTGCTAAATCTCGGCGAAATCCCTGCCTTAGAAGAATCCCGTGTACAAAAAATTTCAAGTGGCTGCCCCCTCGCTGTGAGGCGATGCAGGAGAGAAGGGTGCGTGCACCTCACTAAGTAACAGTGAGAGGCTCATGCTTGACAGAGCCGTTCGTTGAGCGTCCAACCTGAAACCTTAAACTACACTTCGACACCTCCTAGGAACAAGCGGCTATCTTCCGAGAGCTTCCAGACACTCGGCTATCTCGCAGTAGCTTTCAGACACTCGGCTATCTTCCAATAGCGTCCAGACACTCGGCTATCTTTCTGAGCGCTTCGGAGACTCGGCTAACTGCTTTTCCCACTTCCCGAGTTTGGGTGCGTATATATTTTAAACCAGTTGAAATGCCCTCACCGGGACCTAACCAAATGTGTCAAAATTTTGTCAGAGTAGATTAAAATCATGGCGTGAGCATGTCTTGATAAGTGTAACAAAGAAAAACGCTATCGAAAGGACAACCCTAACCTCTCCGCAGAAGTCAGTTTGCCGAGTCTCCGAAGCGCTCAGGAAGATAGCCGAGTGTCTGGACGCTATTGAAAGATAGCCGAGTGTCTGGAAGCTACTGAGAGATAGCCGAGTGTCTGGAAGCTCCTGGAAGATAGCCGCTTGTTCCTAGGAGGTGTCGACTTGGTTTGACAGCCGTTCGTACCACACGTATTCGGGAGTCGTAGATCGAAATAAGCCATGATGACATTGACAAATCGAACACTGTCGCTGCAAGATTTCGGAGGAGCTTCGTGAACACCTGCGACCGCTGCGCCATCATGGCTAGTGCTCTAGATTTCCTGCGAACGATCACTTTGGGGAGTGTTCCCACCACGTCTGCCGTTAGAGGTTCAATGGTCAGTCCGCAAAAAAGGAAGAAAATTTGTCTTGAAAGACATGCATCGTTTGTTTGTGGCTCAACAGATCTCCCTTTGTTTGTGGGTGCTGTGCAGATGCGCCATTTTTGCAAGGGACACGTCGATTCGTTCATTCAGTGTGTTATTTTATCCATGCCATGCACACATGTGCACGATTAATCTCGGTATCTTATCACGAATGAAAAATGCGGGTCATGTTGACCTGCAAGCAAATTCCGGGTAAACCAAGTTCGATGTTCCAATTTGGACAACGCTGACATGTTTTCAATACTATGTCATAAAAGTTATATCCAAATGCTTCCAGATTTCAGCTTAAAATTTTATTGATGTGCGTAGCACAGTAACTGGCCTCTTACAATGTGTTGACATCGCGCTGAAATGGACTGTTTTAGGAGAGCAACATTGTATGTACTCTCACTGTGGTTACGTAGCAGGATGTGCCCTTCACAAAAGACGCTATGTCATAATGCCCTAGTTTTCCCAGTGGGATCCATGAATTTTGGTAAATGCACATCGCTCTACCCTCTGACGCAATCATGAGGGATACCTCGTGGCAGACGAGCTTTAAATTTTGTCCTTCTGGTCACACTGGTCACCCTCTCGCGGACAGCGTCGCGCCTCCCACACACTGCAAGTTACTTCGCATTATGCGCGTCCGTGATGTGTCCGCACGATCGGCGTGGCACACACGCGCGTGCCCTGCGACGCGCGGGCTGCCTGCGAACACTAAGCTTCGTAGCTCACGTGTGAGGCGTCCTCTGGGGCAGCGAGAGAGGCAGGGCCCTGGACGCGCTGTCCACAGCCGATCAGAGTGGACAGTGACACTGTTAGACGTCATGACGTCATATTAGTTGAAACGTGGATTTTGCCCCGTTTGTTTGAATACGATGTCATGTTTGTTGCAACGTCGTGGCCGTTTAGTCAGGATTTCACATTCGTTTGCAAGTGGGTCAACATTCCAAAGATTGTCACACCGTGTTCAAACAGGTTCAAGTCCAACTTAGGGGTTCCAGCACTTGTGTTTGCATCCGTAACGAAGGTGCAAAACTTTACATTCTAGCGAAAATGACGTCCAATTCGAGGAGTTCGAGGACTGACAGTGCGGAAGCGGAGCACACCTTACCCGCGACCGTGTCCGCATTGCCCGGCCTGCCCTGCATACGCGGTAAACAGTGACGAATTCCAGTGGCCTTAATCATGCGGGCCTCGTTGTGTTTCGGAGGGGCGGAAGGGCGGCACAGTGGAAGGGCCCGGGGGACGCGCCGGCCCAGCAGACTGATTCCGAGAGTCGTTTTCGTCGCTCTGCCTCTCTCGCACTCATGGGGCGTCCCGCACGGGTGCGAGGGAGACGGAGCGACGAGAACGACTCTCGGAAGCAGTGTGCTGGTCCAAGGGCTGGCCAAGGGCTGCGCCCCCGCAGCCCTCAGCCCTCGGCCTGGGCCCCGGCGGCCCCGGCCCTCCCCGACAGTGCCCAGGCGCTACATCAGGGCGGACAGCGCGGCGCCAAGCAAGCTGCTGGGCCATGCGGCACGCTGCGGCAAGGCACGGCAAGGCACGGCGCCATGCGTTGAATAAACATTTCATCCCGGTCCACCAGACAGCAAGCCAACCAGCGGCCACCAGGCGGCGCGGCCCCGCCCGGCTGCATGTGGACCCGGCCGACGCCGCCACGCCCTGCCTCTCTCGCATCCATACGGGGCGCCACGTGAGTGCGAGAGAGGCAGGGCGTGGCGGCGCGGCCCCGCCCGGCTGCATGTGGACCCGGCCGACGCCGCCACGCCCTGCCTCTCTCGCATCCATACGGGGCGCCACGTGAGTGCGAGAGAGGCAGGGCGTGGCGGCGCGGCCCCGCCCGGCTGCATGTGGACCCGGCCGACGCCGCCACGCCCTGCCTCTCTCGCATCCATACGGGGCGCCACGTGAGTGCGAGAGAGGCAGGGCGTGGCGGCGCGGCCCCGCCCGGCTGCATGTGGACCCGGCCGACGCCGCCACGCCCTGCCTCTCTCGCATCCATACGGGGCGCCACGTGAGTGCGAGAGAGACAGCGCGACGAAAGTGAAACTCGGAATAGGCCGTCAGCAGAACGCCGACGTGGCACTACTGGCCGTCGCGATATTGCTAGCCTCGGCTTCGGCGGCAGACCGATTCCGTTTTCGTCGCTCCGTCCCTCTCGCACCTTTACGGGACGCTCCGTGAGTGCGACAGAGACAGAGCGACGAAAACGACTCTCGGAATCGGTCTGCTGTTGGGGTCCTGCACCGCGCCATCGGCCCCGAAGTCTCGGGCGGCCGCCTCCCCCGCAAAGTTTGAATAGGTTGGCAGGCCAGGCCTGGGCGCGACGGCGCTTTGCGTATCAAGAAAAAAGAGAGGCGAGGCTTCCCTCTTTTTCTTTGAGGGCGGCGCGAGGCGAGGCTGCATTGAGCGCTGTGCTGCCGCTGCTGCACGCGGATGTACCGCCGCCATCCCTCACCGCGATGATTGATCGGCCGCCCCGCTCACAAATCCGCGCGCAGCGCCTGCGCCCACGTCGTGTGTGTGTGTGTGTGTGTTGCATGCATAGGTGTGTGTAAGGGTGTCTGTGTGTGTGTCGTATGCATTAGTGTGTGTGTGTGTGTGTGTGTGTGTGTGCACGTGGCTGCTGCATTCACCCGGAGGAGGACGAGCAGGGCGCGCGCCGCGTCAGCAAGAGGCTCTCGCGGTGACGGCGATGTGTCATCGGGGAGGTGTCAACTAACTGCCTGCCAGGGGGGCGGGCGGCGCGTGCAAGGCTGGCGGCGGCGGTCCCGTCCGCACGCGCTTCGCGCCGTCCGCAAATCACGGAACAGGCTGCACCTGAGCGACGTCACTGTGGTGTGAAACCAAGTGTGGAGGACTCCACACTTCCAGGCGCGGAGTGATTCTCTACTGGACATGTGCGGTCTCCACACTGTGTGAAGTAGCTCACAGCAGGGGGTGGCAACGGCCTAGGGAGAGCGTGAAGCGATGCTCGCGCCGTCAGTGCAGAGGTTGCGCACTTGTTCGAGATCATGAAAACTAGACAGTGTTTTTCAAAGCGCTTTGCACCGATGGAAAGGGCTTGAAATTTAGGGTGCATTAGGCTGATTGCTTTTCTTAGGCTGATTGCTTTTCTCGAAACTCCCCCCTGACTTTATGTTAAGGTGCAGTGAAAACACCGAAAAACACGAGAAATCGTAAAATTCAGGGAAAACTCGAATGCGCCATGTTGATGTAAATGATTCCGCCCTTGTGTTCGGTTGAATTTGGAAGTATCGGGCAGTCTACTAGGTCTAATGCACCTTAAATTTTGTGCTCTTTTGATCTGCGCAAAGCGTTTTGAAATCAATGGGCTAGATCTTCCAATCGAAGCAAAATAAGTAACCCTTGCACCTCCCTCGCGCATGGCTTCACGCGCTTCCTAGGCCGTTGCCGCCCCCTGCTCACAGCCTCTCGCTCTGGGCACGGTGCGAACGTGTAGGAACTCGACACTTGAACTGTGGGGACTGTAAACCCTGCACTTCCAAGTGTGGAGACTGCAAACTCCACACCTCCGCATTTCAAGTGTGGTGTGCG